ACCACAGTACCATAGTACCACAATACCACAGTACCGTAGTACCACAATACCGCAGTACCACAATACCACAGTACCACAATACCACAGTACCACAGTACCACAATACCGTAGTACCACAATACCATAGTACCACAATACCACAGTACCATAGTACCACAATACCACATTACCGTAGTACCACAGTACCGTAATACCACAGTACCACAGTACCATAGTACCACAATACCACAGTACCATAGTACCACAGTACCATAGTACCACAATACCACAGTACCACAGTACCACAGTACCACAATACCACATTACCGTAGTACCACAGTACCGTAGTAGCACAATACCACAGTACCGGAGTACCACAATACCACAGTACCATAGTACCACAGTACCACAGTACCATAGTACCACAATACCACAGTACCACAGTACCACAATACCACAATACCACAGTACCACAGTACCACAATACCACAGTACCATAGTACCACAATACCACAGTACCACAATACCACAATACCACAGTACCACAGTACCATAGTACCACAATACCACAATACCACAGTACCGTAGTACCACAATACCACAGTACCATAGTACCACAATACCACAGTACCAAGTACCACAGTACCACAATACCGTAGTACCACAATACTACAGTAGCACAATACCGTAGTACCACAGTACCATAGTACCACAATACCACAGTACCACAGTACCGTAGTACCACAATACCACAGTACCACAATACCACATTACCGTAGTACCACAGTACCGTAATACCACAGTACCACAGTACCACAGTACCACAGTACCATAGTACCACAGTACCACAGTACCACAATACCACAGTACCACAGTACCATAGTACCACAGTACCACAGTACCACAATACCACAGTACCACAGTACCTAGTACCACAATACCACAGTACCACATACCACAATACCACAGTACCATAGTACCACAATACCACAGTACCAATACCACAATACCACAGTACCACTAGTACCACAATACCACAGTACAAACCGTAGTAGCACAATACCACAGTACCATAGTACCACAATACCACAGTACCGCAGTACCAGAGTACCACAGTACCACAATACCGTAGTACCACAATACCACAGTAGCACAATACCGGTACCACAGTACCACAGTACCGTAGTACCACAATACCACAGTACCACAATACCGTAGTACCACAATACTGCAGTAGCACAATACCATAGTACCACAGTACGACAGTACCGTAGTTCCACAATACCACAATACCAGAGTACCACAGTACCACAGTACCATAGTACCACAATACCACAGTACCACAATACCACAATACCACAATACCACAGTACCATAGTACCACAGTACCGTAGTACCACAATACCATAATACCACAGTACCATAGTACCACAATACCACAGTACCATAGTACCACAATACCACATACCACAATACCACAATACCGGAGTACCACAGTACCACATTACCATAGTACCACAATACCACATTACCACAGTACCGTAGTACCACATACCAGTACCATAGTACCACAATACCACAGTACCATAGTACCACAGTACCACAGTACCACAATACCGTAGTACCACAATACTACAGTAGCACAATACCGTAGTACCACAGTACCGTAGTACCACAATACCACAGTACCACAGTACCACAGTACCGTAGTACCACAATACCACATTACCGTAGTACCACAGTACCGTAGTACCACAATACCACAATATACCACAGTACCACAGTACCACAATACCACAGTACCAGAATACCGTAGTACCCACAGTACCACAGTACCACAATACCACAGTACCAACCGTAGTACCACAAAACCACAGTACAAACCGTAGTAGCACAATACCACAGTACCATAGTACCACAATACCACAGTACCATAGTACCACAGTACCACAATACCGTAGTACTACAATACTACAGTAGCACAATACCGTAGTACCACAGTACCACAATACCGTAGTACCACAATACCACAGTACCACAGTACCGTAGTACCACAATACCACAGTACCACAATACCACATTACCGTAGTACCACAGTACCGTAGTACCACAATACCACAATACCGGAGTACCACAGTACCACAGTACCATAGTACCACAATACCACGTACCACAATACCACAGTACCACAATACCACATTACCGTAGTACCACAGTACCGTAGTACCACAGTACCACAATACCACAATACTGATTACCACAGTACCACAGTACCATAGTACCACAATACCACAGTACCACAATACCACAGTACCATAGTACCACAGTACCACAATATCACAGTACTACAATACCACAATACCGTAGTACCACAGTACGACAATACCACAGTACCGTAGTACCTCAACACCACAGTACCGTAGTACCACAATACCACAGTACCGTACCGTAGCACCACAATACCACAATACCACAGTACCATAGTACCACAGTACCACAGTACCATAGTACCACAATACCACAGTACCACAATACCATAGTACCATAGTACCACAATACCACAGCACCACAATACCACAATACCATAGTACCACAGTACCACAGTACCGTAGTACCACAGTACCACACTACCACAATACCGTAGTACCACAGTACAGCAGTACCACAATACCACAATACCGTAGTACCACAATACCGTAGTACCACAGGACCACATTCTATAGTGCTGTGGAACTATACAACCAAAGAAGATCCGTGTTATCACTATTCATAGGGGGTTGGGTCCTAATTATGGTAATATATTTGGTGACTGCGTGTCATGGAATTATAACCCTATTATGGTCAAAAGGTGTTGATATATTAATGATGTCAAAAAGTGATCATTATACGAAAGGCTGGCCAGAAATGGCAGACATGCTTAACCTAAACCTGAATTTAGCATGTCCTTACTGAGTGTTGTTGTAACTTTACTGCAACATTTAAAGTTGATTAATGACAGAAATATATTGTCTATGTTGCCTTTCTATGCAAAATCATGTATCCTTTATGATCATTGATCCAGTTGTAGAACTTTTGTATGTCAAAGTCATGCAATAAAGTTGGCTTGAAATTAGAATAGAAGCCATAACTTCTGCCTGGTATTTGGTTAGAGCATCTTGTGACACAAGTTCTCTGACAATCTTCGTCATGTCAGCCTTCTCTGACCGGCAGGTACAAAACGCAGGTTGCAGGTTGGAATTTTGCAGGTTGCGAATTTTGCAGGTTGGAATTTTGCAGGTTGGGGATTTTGCAGGTTGGAATTTTGCAGGTTGCCAGGAACTTTGCAGGTTAATAATGCAAGCTTAAAATTACACCACTTTTTTAGTATTCTAGTATAATTTAGTTGTGCATTTATTGCAGTCGGACTCCTTGTCGGCGCCTCTGCTCTAAGGCTAGTGGCCATCACCCCCATGAAAACATTCAAAATGACCAGATTGGCTTGGACCTACAGGGAGACGAATGCAGTGGCATAGGAAACGGGGGGCCAGGCCCCCCAAGTTTTGCCAAGTGCCCTTTTTCCGGGAGCAAAGTGTCCTTTTTTGTGTTAAAAATGTTTTAAGGATTGCCTTTTTTTGCCCAAAGCGCACTTTTCGAAACTTGAATTTATGTTGTTTTCCGGAATATTTTTTTGCGAAAAATTTTGTTGTGTTTCCGGAAAAAATGTTTCATATTTAGTAAAATTGGATATATCTGGAAATATTTTTTTGGTTTGTCCGGAAAAAAATTTTGAGACCTCCCCCCTTCCCACCCCGTCGCCAACATTTCCGGGAAAAAAATTTTAGATGCCCTTTTTTATTCGGAAAGTGCCCCTCAAAGCCTGCCCCCCCAACTTTTAGAAGCTTCCTACGCCCCTGGACAAATGTTTTGATTGTTGCGAGGTGCCTACATGATGTGGCGGCGTTTATACTAGAATGTTGTTAAAAGTTAACTAACTCTCGAGTAATGATACGGTAATTGGGGGCTTGAGTGGTCTCATAAGTGGGTGCAGAGGAGAGACACCTCATTCAGGCATTTTCTGAACTGCCACCACGTCATGTAGGCTCCTCGCAACAATCGAAACATTCGTCCCCCTGAAGACCCAAGCCAATCTGGTCATTTTGAATGTTTTCACAAGGGTGATGAGCAGAGGCTAGAAACATGGTAGCAGGATAGGCTGATATCAAAAGCGGCGACAAGGAGTCAGACTGCAATAAGTACAAAATAAAATTATACTAGAATACTTTATAGTAGTGTAATTTTCAGTTTGCATCATCAACCTGCAAAATTCCAACCTGCAAAATCCCCAACCTGCAAAATTCCAACCTGCAAAATCCCCAACCTGTAAAATCCCCAACCTGCAAAATTCCAACCTGCAACCTGCGTTTTGTACCTGCCGTTCTCTAACCTACGCATATGTTTACCAGAGCGCTTGTACAACAACATTGAACTGTCAAAATCTTGCGTTAGCTGTTTCGTTACACCCATAGCATGGCAAATTCTGTTGATGGACTTCGTACTGGCATTAGGTCCAAGTTTTTTGACATCTTTGAAAATTCGGTTCAAACACCCAGCTTTTGTTTTCTTTTTGAAAATCTGTTCCAAACTAGATCATGTGCAGCTTTTGGACTTAACAGTGCATACATCTGGAACATCATGTATAGTGCTTCCAGAGCACACTTGTTGCTGCTTTGGCCATCATGGCGCAAATATAACAAAAGAAATTTCCAATTTCTGATTACTCTAGCACCATCTCCCTGAGAAATTGCATCAAAAAAATTAAGAATCACCATACCATACTCGAGCAGGGATTTCTGGTAATTGTACATGTCATCTGCTGTGACGTCTTCATGGATTTCAGTCAGCAGTGGTTGCTCTTCTATGATGACTGGTGGATTGTGAGACTGCTCGTGAGTATGTCGCCATTTCCCATCGGACCTAAATGTCTTGTTGCAACCAGGGAACCGACACTTATATCTGCCACTTGATGTCATATCCTTCAGCCTTTACAACTGCTTTTCTTCTAGTTGGCTGGTGGCAAGGGCAATCTTTTTGTGTTTGGCTTTATCGAGAATATACTTGTCGACAATTGTTGCTGCTAACTCCTCCAGGTATTCTTTCTTCTTAGCCTTGGTCCAACTCTCAAATTGGTGCGGTACACACTGCGACATCTCTTCTAGTTCTTCAATGCCAAGCTCCTTCATTCCAGCTGCAACAATGCGTGCCTCTAGTTCTAGAATGAAGAAGTGTCTACACGGATTAACTGCAGCATCAACATCACTCTTTACACTGCGACGGTTTATTACATTTCTGTCGCTGTATAATGTGCACTTATCTCCAGCTGATGTTGGGTTGTAGAAGTGGGCAAACGCAATCTACAAGACAAGTAAAGTATTTAAGTTTTTGATATCAAAATATTGTTATTAAATAAAGTCTTAAAGATCATAAATACAGTAGTGAATGATTATGTAAAATTAACCAATTGAAAATACACTACTGTATTTTGATGTATTACATTATAATTTTCATTTTATTCATTGTCTCCAAGGTGGTATTTGATTTCCTAACAGTTAATCAAGACAAAACCTACATAACATCAATAGTTTCATTGTAACATGAAATTTCACCCCAAATGTTTATGGTTGTATTGTAAAGATCACTTAAAATTACTTAATAACTTCTTTTATATAATTTTGGTAACTTGCTCCCTTCGCAAGATATTCAACTTTGTTTCATATGCAAATATCACCGGTGTGACATCACATCGCATAATGAGTTTTCAGAAAAGTATAGTTTTCTTGACGAATACGTATCTAAAAAACTTGCTCTTGTATATGCATTCATTTCATAACTGCTAATTAATCCTGTGTATTTGTTTGTAAAAATATTTTATCAAGGTAAAATATTGTGTTTTCAAAATGTCATTATGCGATGTGATGTCACACCGGTGATATTTGCATATGAAACAAAGTTGAATATCTTGCGAAGGAAGCAAGTTACCAAAATTCTATACACGAAGTTATTAAGTCATTTTAAGTGATCTTTACAATACAACCATAAACATACCGGATGCTCTCGTGTGAGCAACATTGCAATATTATCCCACAATAATGCAATTTTGATAGGCAGATTGCTCTGAGCAATTTGCAAACGACACAAACAAATTGCAAGTTGAAATTCACAAAAGATTTTGAGACAATATTGCAATGTTGATCCCACAAGAACATCTGGTTTGACTGTAAAACTTGGGATTAGAATTTTCAATAGGGGACAAACTTTGCTAAGGGGATGATGTGTTGGTTATTTTGAGGCAATTAGGGTATATGTATTTATTCCCTGAGGGCCAAGCCCATGATAAATAAATCACATATTCACAAGGACAGTTAATATAATAATATAAATTATTAAATTATAAACATATTGATTTATACAACATTTGTTGGTTGTGATGCTTCTTTGCTGTATTTGTGGTGAATGTGCTTCTCAACAATATCTTGTCCAAATTCAAGGCAGGGAATATTTTCAACCAGAATTCTCTGGACCAACATGATGTAATTTGCTCTCTGTACTTTTTGTTCGATGTGATTAGGAATACACTTGCCATTTTCCATTTGTTTAATACCAGGTACAGGGCTGTCCGTACTCAAATGGTTTCCAGATATCCTGTTTGTGGTGGCGTTGACTGTCACATAGTGTCTATCGATGTTCTGGTGTTCTTCTGTCATGTAGTGGACATTTTGATGGTAGTCAACATTGTCGATGGTGAGCTTGAATCCAGGGGATGGTTTTGCACATGTAACTGTGGTTGGTCTGGGATCAGTTTCTTTTTCCATAGCAATCTTTTCTGCAAACCACTTGTGTCGCTTTCAACCATTTCTTTCACTTGAAAGTCGTAACCCTCTCCAAACTCATCCAACTTCTTATAGAGGTGGGTTGGCGATGTCACCAATCTTAATGGGGCAAACCTGGACATAATGGGCTATTCAAAGATACAAAGTAGTAGATTAAAACAAGCTGGATTGAGATTTGTTTGGGCTAGAGTTGTCTTGGGTCACTCCAAAAAGGGTCACAATAATGGGTCACTCCAAAAAAGATCCACTCTCTCTGCATGGAGGATATTTCTGGAGTGCGAGAAATGATTTGTGGATGTTTTCTGGAATAACCCAATATAATATGTAAAATACATAAAGTATTATTTAGCATAATAATATTATTATTTAGCATAATAATATTTTACACCTCATTGTATCGACTTTGTATTAGCGAACATCAAGGCTCAAAGGAAGACAAAACCAGTGTTTTCCAAGGGGACATACATTAATAAACTGTTTTCAGAAGCTATGACAAGTGTCAAAGCTTCTGGTAACCTGAAAGGGCAACAATTGTTCAATTACATGCCCACAAGCTACTTTAAAGGCATTATAGTCACACAATTGTTGCCTGCTCAAGATCCATCGAGATTATTATAAGCTACATAACTCCAAATCAACCAATGACATTCCAGTTTGTAAACTGCAAAATGTGAGCTATACAACAAATTATATTAACCCATCAGCATTCTCCCCCTGACAAGTAAAATTATCTGACATTAGACAGAGTAAAATAATAAAGTAAGGTAGCATCTGGATGCATTGCCACTTAGTTAACAGGGTGCATGGGCAGATAGTCTGTTTAACCCATTGAGTGGCAGCACTCTCTCCCTGACAGGTAAAATCGTCTGGTCTTAGACAGTGTAAAATGATAAAGTAGGGCGCATTGTCACATAAACGGTTAATTAAAATATGCATGTACTTACAGCCCAATTGGAATGATATAAAAATATCTCAAACTCATTAATAATTCATGAGCAAATTAGCGAATGAACTCACCCTAATTCGTCACATGATTGAGGTTGGATACCGCAAGGAAACACGCTAAAAATCATATACCATCACTGTTGTTAGATGAAAAACGGTTTTCATCTATTAACTGAGATCCTAATTACAAATTCAAGTCAAAACACAACAATATACTATAATAATATATATAAGCCAATGAAATGTTTTCGTTTGAGATGTTGTGTAAACAACTCGTTTCTCGTGTTTCATCAGGGGACCAAACACTCGAAAACAATAAAACACTGGCGCTTCGCGCTCGTGTTTCATACAGTTTTCTTGTGTTTGGATCCCCTGATGAAACACTCAAACTCGTTGTTTACATATAACATCCCCAACATTAGTTGCACAGCATTCATGTATGGTGATCGGTTTCTGAGCAGCACTGAAGCAGCCATTCCAACTGCTGGAATCCACAAGCTCTTATCAGTTTTCTTCCTGTTGCAACTGCCTGCCACCAACACTGAATAAAACAATGGTGCTCTCTCTTCCAGCTCTTCATTCTCTTTTCAAATGAAAAATCCAGCATTTTCTGCTTTGAAGGGGATCTTAAACAACTAGGATTTTTCCATGAACAAGTATTTGAGCACTCCTTGTCAATTTGTTTTAGGACGTTGACGGGGAGATGCTTTCTGATTGCTGTTCCATGCTGCATTGGCTCTAAGTCTGGATGCAATTGTTTTTCAACAGTTTTACTCGGCCATGATACTCTTACATTCACAGATGTTCTAGCGGGTTGGTGTTCTTTAACAGGAGTGGAATGACTTAATGGTTTCAAGGGCGCATGCTTATTGATTAGTCTTTGTAGTTTATTGTAGAATATTGAGAATGATTTATTAAGGTCATTCGTTCTTGAGGTGGTTGTACTCAAATGTAGCTGAAAAAGTTCATTATTGAATTTAACCTCAGAGAAATTTGAGTAATCTCGAGATAATTTTGTTTGGCTTTCACTATTATTAACACCTATGTATGAACAATTAAGTAATGCAAAACTGCGAGTAGTGATCGCTTATATCAGAAACCATGTTACTGCTTAGAATAGAGCCATCAACATTATTGAAAAATATATTGTTAATAAGTGTAGCGGAGTCCTTATGCATTCGCTGGTTTGTCAACAGTTGGAGTCAAGTTGAAGCTTTGTAGAGAGAGAAAATCTTGTGCAAAATTACATGTACAACAACAGAGGAGGTTTATATTTAAATCACCCATCATGTAAATAGTTTTGCCAGAAGCCGATACCAGGCAAATTGTGTTGCCTATGGATTACACCACATATAATATTTGCATGTTTCGGTTGAATAATTTCTATTGAAAAGCCTCATTAGTGCATTTTTCAATTATTGTGTAATTTAGGGCATTATCTATATACATTCCAACTCCTGCAGCAGCTTGAGGTGTTGGAACGTATTCAAAATTATAATTTTGTAAAGCAGGATTAAAATTTTGTGTTAATCCTGGTTTCTGTGACACCAGTTACACTAAAATTATAATGTTGTTCATCTAAGAGATATGTTTGTAAGTTATCTAAATTTTTTTAGGCAGTAATAATCAGTCACTAATCTGAAAGTTATAATTAATTTGTTCCTTTTGGCAATCTTTCCAAATCACTTCGCTGCTTGATTCTAATCGGTTGGGAATCTTAAATATATTGTGGAATTTTTCGTCCAGCAGAATTTATAATTGTTTTCAAATTTGAAATTCTTAGAATCTACTAAAAGTTGTTGTAATCTAGGGGTTAGATGATCAAATATACCTGCATCCATCAAGGACGAATCTTGAGGTAGACCAATACTAGCTGGTCAATTCTCCGTACATCTCATCTTTTTGCCATCACTTGTTCTTGTGTGAGACAGGTTAGGTTTTGGTCGGTGGCTGTTTGGGTTTCTTGTTGCCACTAGGTGAGCAATGTCAGTGTCCATTAGTGACACTTGAACGCCGATAGCTTTGAGCTGGTGCAGTGCTGAAGGATGCTGATCTTGTTGAAGCCATTAACGAATCTTTAGGGAGAGTTGCAGACGACATCCCACCATTAAAGTTTACTCCTATCCCAGTATAACACATCTCTGATAAGGAAATCATCTCTCCTGAAGCCATAGTGTTCTCTTCTGGACTTCAAGAGCGCAAGTTGGTTGGCCCAGATGGGATCCCTAATTGGTTATTAAAGAACTTCGCATCAGGTATTAGCCGCCCTACGAGTTCCATCTTTAACTCATCCATCAGGGAAGGCCATTTCCCATCATTATGGAAATGTGCAGAGGTCCTACCCTTGGGAAGGATCCCGCAACCTCTGTCCATTGACACAGATCTCAGACCAATATCTCTGACTGCCATGTTGAGTAAAGTTCTGGAAGGATTCATGTTCAACTGGTTGGCTTCTATTATAATGCTTGCTGAACTTTGTCAATAAAGCTGGAAAGACTATCGAGCTTTACAGTGAAAATATCGATCACATGACTTTTAGTATTTATACAACTTTTTGCTTGGCACAAATAAAACATTTATGCTGATTAATATTCATTTTTATTAAATTAACATTATATACTAAGAATAATGAATATTGTTTATTTTCCACAACTCTTTTGCATCTTTCAAACGTTGGGGTTAAACTCAAAAAACAAAATGTTTATTTTGCTTGAGTTAAATCCCTATTTTCTGGGGGCTTAACTCAAAGTACCTAACTCCAGTTATGTATTTTGAGTTAAGCCCTCAACGGAAATGGGTGTGGTATGGGCGTGGTTGGTTGGGTGGGTCGGGGCTTAACTCGAAGATTTGCTACCCCAACAGCTTCAGCCCTTAAGCGAACTCTTTAAGATATCGCAATTGTTTGCAACTATATCAACTATCATTGTTCCAACAATGTCATCTTTATGATCATCAATTACACCAGTATAACCACTATAATAATGGTGTTTTTGTGTGCTCTGACATCATTCTTCATTCTATTTATAAGTTGTTGATTGTCATCTGTGAGATGTTCGTCAGGATTCAGATTAGCAACATCAACATCTGGATTCACAAGCATCTTGAATACATTTTCATGTAAAAAAGTGGCGGTGGGCCTCCTTGGGCAATTGATTTAGCTACCATTTCACCACATGATCTGAATTGGCCATTGTCAATGTTGCAGACCGAATCAATGGGGGAGCACCATTATGGAACATAAAACTTGCCATATCTGATATGGCTTTTTTTAACTCATTGCCGTCCAGTCATATTACATATTCCGACTTTGGAGAGGGGAAAATTAAAAATATCTCTGCACGTATTTCCCCCCTTTAAAATGAAAACCACCATTGAAATCCTCATAAAATACCTTTTGAAAGGGAGGAGGGGGGCAAATTGATTTTCGGTAATCATCATAAGACATTACTCTTTTAACAGCAGTAACTCTGTCTGAATCGTTTACTGAAGTTACAGGATTTATTGGACAAACATCAAAAAGGAAACCATACCTTACCTATTGTAACACTGCTTGGTCCTCCACCTATGTTTCCAATTTAAAGTGTATATGACATGAAATTTCTTATTTTTTTAAATGAAAGAACTCTTTAAGCTGTAGTGTAACCTATTTTTCAGTTTATTGTTTTTATGGTTTGTTCCCGAGATATTTCAATGAGTGTGAATATGTCCGCTAATTTATGATGTCACGTTGGTTGCAAGCTCAATGGACCTTTCCCCTTTAACTAAAATTTTGATCTAAACAAGTCTAGACAAAAATTTTGTCACAGCTTGAAAGAGCATCACAAAATTAGTAATATTCCAAAGTTTCGTTGCGAAATGTTGTAAAATGCGGATAATATAGCTCTGTGAAATTTGCAATTTTCAGTCATTTTGTATTACAAACAGGAAATTGATGCCACAACACCCGATTGGGCTGTCAATTTCCCATGCATAATACAAAATGACTGAAAAACGGAAAATTTCACAAGGCTATATTATCCACATTTTACAACATTTCG